CACAAGAAGACCGTTTCTTTCAGAAGGCCTTTCGTCATTTCATCGTCATTTCATAGCTCCATAGATTATATAAATATTTTGACATTCAGCGATTGTATATGTTTGACCTTTAATATACAATCTTGCTCTACTAGGTGTTATACATATCTATGCCGTGCCAGTACAAGCGTCTTGTTGAGCCAATTACCTGTCAATCATTATTATGATTCAGATCGGTAGGGTGACACGCGATGATACGTACGGCTATTATCACGGTACTTAGTATACATATAATACACACGTATATTTACATAATTCATTGTTTACATATAAATGTAGATGCAGGCTAATTTATAGCTTTTTTATTCATATTAGACGTTAATTCACGTTTTCTTCTTCATCACGCCCTTTTAAAGTATTGTTTTTTGGTTGAAATGAACCTAATAATGGAAAGGCGTTAATTAATAATTTAGCAATGGGTTCACTAATAAAGCTATCAGGCCACATATTAATAAGGTCATCGTGCAATCAGGGAGCTACCTGTTGTCTACAGGTACGACGTCGACACACCTGTACCGGGCAGGTACGGAATACGTTACACACTATCACCGACGGAGACAGCATCACCGAATCCGGATGTTGTGTGTGACTAATGGGTGCTGCAGCTAGCGTGATAGTGAATATTTGGTGTAACTTTGGTGATATTTAACTTCCTGTTACGATTCATTGGCTGACATTGTTCCCGTCTTGTAGTTACCAGGGTTCCGATCACTTTCTATTACATACAGGATGACCCTGGTTCTCATTTAACCGGTTAACATTTCTCTTTGGGCCCATGAGTTCCCTCACCAAGTGAGCATAGGTTCGTATCTACACACGCTAGTATTGAAAACTACTGGACATTTTTGTTCGTCATGCATTTCTATAACATGAAGCAACCGTCTATATAATAAGTAAAAGTACAATTCTTGATCACGGTGGTCATTAAGACGTCAATGAATCGTCTGTCATTGTGACGCCCGTGCTGGAACATATCCCACAAAGGATGTACCCTGCAGCAAGGGACTGGAAACAGGATGTAAAATATAGGTCAATGATAAACTGCAATAAGCTAATAAAACAGTGGGTCGTAACTGTTCATTTGACGTCATACAGACGAATGAAATGGTATCAAATTTCGTAAAAACTGTTCGTCTCTTAGATTGTAACAGACGCTGAAGTGTGATATCGCTGCGAGTAAACGCCGCGTGATGCTCAAAAAATCTCGCGTGACCACACGCTGACCTTGACCTTGACCGGTATATACATATCATCTTATTGTTTCTTTAGAACACACCTTACAACTGTAGACTTCTTTTTAAATTCCATGACAGCTTCGGTATTTGACTAAGAACGGAAATTGCAACTGCCGGTAGGCCATTGTAAAACAACCCCTCTTCTCAAATCTCTAAATGACGTCACACTTGTGACATAAAACATACGTCGTATTGACTTAGTACTAAACTCGTATCAAACACTCACACCAAAAAGTGCAATGTTTTGATAAATGCTTTTTACACATATCGGAATAAAGAAGACCATCAATGTTGTGGCCATTGGTCTTGTATGCATGTAAAACTGACCGGAATGAAAGCAGTCATCCTTCATTGATCCTATATATATTTAAAACTTCCAGGGATTAAAATATTGATTTTGCATGGTGCCGAGCGAAATACATTGAACTTAGAAAAAGACATTTGATTACACATCGTAGCTCCGTGTATAGGTAAAATTATACAAGGTACGATATGCAATGTAGGAAACTTATGCGAATAACTTTGGAATTAAATTTTAAGAATTAAACAATATAAGCGCCGTGTGATTCAACAGTGACTCATAATACCTTATCGAAACCAAACGAACTTCTTCAATAGGAGACTTCTGGTTTTCTCAAATTATAATTTGTAACAATTATTAGAACGTGGTCGTTTATCAGGTAACTGTTCCCATATCTCTTGGCACGATGTCCCGATTTTAATATGTCTACGTCATCGCCGACACGAGTTTCTTATGTCCTTTGGAGATATATAAATGTACACATGTGTAGATAGTAAAAAACCTATCGTCCCTTTTAGTGCAGGAGGGACTAGGTTGATAATACGGCGTGAACTCTCGAGCTTCACGTGGTTTGGTTACATAACGATCTGGTATTGTACGTCACAATCTTACACAGCACGCGCAGAACTCGGCCAGAGAATAAGGTCGCTGGAGTTCATCCTCATCAAATTGTAACAAACAGCGCAAAAATATTGGGAAAACCCGGCACCGTCTCTCCAACATGTTGCTGCGGATAACGGCGCTGTTATTGTGGAGAGAGTAAAGCACCGGCTGAACTCCGGTCAATAATTCTTGTTGCTTACATATCGATAACCGAAATGGACAGTGAGATGGCCTGGTTTTCACCTGATGAATACAAAGATGCTTTACCACGTACAGTATGTGTACGCTACCTCATTATAGAGTACTACATAGTGTACATATGTAGTGGGGTCGGTACTTGCAGTATTATATTAACCTTGACATTCGATAACCCCCAACTGAAATTCAGTCAGTTATATGTACGTATATCACGGCAGTGAGATGAAAGCGTGAACCTTCGGGGTTATGAGGCCAACCTCTGTATCATCCTTGGGCTTACTCATATCGATACGAGCCGGTGTCTGACTAATCGTCCCGCGACTCTGAGAAATCAGTCCTTGTAAACTGTTCAAAAGGTTTTCTGCAATTGGAAAATCGGTGACTGTTATTACCAGCAATACAGCATCGAGTGAACGGGCGGCGGTATTCAGACGTAGGGAAACGTAGCGTTGACGGACATGCATGTGATAAAGGGTATAGCCGAGTTCGGACGTAGGGGACAAAATGTATAGACGGACAAGCATGCGTTTTGGGCAGCCAGTCCAGCCGAGGTCGAACGGTCAGGGGCAGATGTAGTCTGACAGGAAGACAACCGAAACGAGGGTTGGACGATCAGACAGCTGACTCAGTTCGAAAGAAGCTGATATTTTACGGTCAGACTACTGAGGTTGGACAGACTTGAGGCTAGCTTTTATTTCACCAATTTAATCACAACCTTAATTAATAAAACATATTTTCGCAAACACGCTTACGTGGGGTATTTTGTGTTTGTATGTAAAACGTTTGTTTGTTATTGTATTTTTCTGAACTTTGTATCAAAAGATTCGAGAATAACAATCACGCTGTCAAAACAAATACGTTTCAGAATCCAGCAAGGTAGTTACATTTTGCAACAAACAAAACTATATTCACCTTAGATGTTGATAAGGTTAAGAAACGAATGATTCGGTATTTCATTTAATACAAAAAATTACAAACAATGAATAAAAAGAAGATGTCGGTTCAGTAACTTAACATTGTTTTTACCGGTTTATTTAAGTGCCATTGGAAAACATTACCGAAACGCGTGAATCTGACGCACGAAGGCAAGGCTATGCATAGCGTAGTATATAAAGTGCTATAGGAAGTGTAAGGAGCCAATGGCCTTTCGATTTCATTGAAACATTTCAAGCATGATATGCATGTTATTGAAAAACAGGAAATATTTGCACTGAAGTGTACAATGTGAACGATACGGCTTACACTGGTTGCAGCATTCCTCCGGGTTTGTGTAGCACCCAGGCATTCCTCGTCTGGGTATGGTTGGCACGTGAGGAATGCATATCTGGGTACTGGAGCTATATGCTTTTAGTAATATGGACACACATTCTTTCTGTAGGAGTTACGTGCTCGTAATTCTTATCGACCACTAATATATAAATCCAATCTTACCTGTCTCACCTGAGTTATAAGGTCACATTTGGAATTGGGTATATACAATCAGGAGCTTAAAGAGCCCGTTCCGACCGTATTCAGCCAACGTAACGCTATTGAACACGGACACCTCTTCGCTTGACATGTTCCGTCACACATAACACATTATGTTAACGCAGGAAAGGTAGCGAAGTTCGCACTACAGCAGAAAAAAACGTTACTGTATCTTTTTCATTTTATAATTTAATTAAACTCCTTATAGATAATTATTGTATTATTGTGGTCGCCGTGATATTGTTCTAGTCCTGGAAGAACAGTGATATATGATAGTTTTCCACTACTTAGTCACTGATACACTGTAAACAGTATCGCTCTCCTTCCGGGTTTAAAAAATATATCGCGGTATTTTGATTTTGCGCTTCGTAACTTACTACATTTTTGACTGAGCATGATCAAACTCATTTAGTCGAACCATCGGATATGTCGAGTACTTTTATTGGTCCCCAGGACTTCGAGTTTTTATGTACTTGATTTGGGTCTTTTACAGAAGTTTAACAAATTAAAGTCTGGCATCCGAATCAATTTAATTTACATCACTTCATGCTACCAAGATTTGACAACGGGTCTACTTGTTTGATTTGGTTTGTCTGATGTAATGAGGAAGTTAGGAGGCTGGACATCAACGTGTGGACCTTTTACATTTGAAGGCTCATACTACACAAGACACCGCCTTACTGTGGTGCGCATGCGAGGCAACTTTCATTGATGTATCGTCATTTATAGAAAGTTAACACGGGACGGGTAAATAATGACATGGATGGTTGTCATTTAAACAGAGACACTGACCTTAGATGTAGGCACATAAAAACAGTATGACACACCGTCTCGTAGTGGTCACATGCGTCTGAGGTTTCATTAAGATATCAAAGTTAAAAAAAAATCAGCCCTGGAATATGAAAGTGATGCACAGACGTACGCACGAACTTAGCACGGGTAACAGTAACATGTCTAACACAGAACTTCTTATAGAATCCTACTATGTGCATTGACCATAAAGGCTGAGTTCTAGTGTATTGCCTCACAGACGTCTGTTTACACCCTATTTACGCTGTGCAGAGTAGATGCTGGATTCATAGCAACCGGTTTCTAAGGAAGCAACTTCCGCGACCACGAACCAATCACGGCGCTGCTTACGGAGATGACCTCGGAGGCTCCGCCCTCAGTTGAACAAAGAACGTAGTAGCAACGTGACAGATAAAGAGAGAGAGGGGACTAGCGAACTGTCGGGAGGTTCTGTGCTATTCGTACGTCGATTTCTCACTGCATCATTACAAATCATGACTCTGCCCGAAGGCACGGAAGCTTCAGCTGCAATTTGCAACAAGTAAGTGAACATTCCACTCCATTTTTCCTATTTCATAACTATTTTTCGTAGCACGCTACGTATGTAAATATGTATACACATGTATATGTGACCTATAAACGATACACGGCTTAGTAGTCCGTCTGGGACAAAGAACGCGTATATGGGGATCGACTTCAGCTAGCAATGCAAAATGGAGAAAATAACTGCAACATATTTCGTCCTGATAAACCTGAACAGAGTATTTGCAAGTTTGCAATATGGAAATATAAGCCAACAGCTGTCTTGCAACAGTTGGGGTCGAGACTTGCAAAATGTGACTTATTAGAATTCGTTAGTTCATTTGCATATTTTAATCAATCTATAGAAATTAGTTCACGTTTACTATCACCATGCTAATGTTTTCATCATCGTTATGGTTGCATCAGCACTTTGAACTTTTGCTCTGGAACTGTCCGTCGTCAAAGTCGAACGAGGTCACGCGCACTGACTTGCGTCATTCTGTCGTCTGCAATGTTGCAAGTGCAAACGCAAATGAAAAGTATCAAAACAAATAATCTCTATTTGAGAAAATCAAATATAAAAAGGTTGAAAGACGCAGAATGTCTCACTTCGTAACTTTCTTTCTTTGTTTCTGCTTGGCTGGGAACAGCTGATCTGATGTGACCTATGTGATTTGCATAATTGACTGTGAATATTTAGTAGCTGAGCGTGACGTCAATATAAGACTTAATCTGTCCATTTATAGAATAAAACGAGGTGTTGACGTGTCTACGGTAACAGATGAGACGGGAAAATCAAATGCAATTAAATGTTCATTGTTGATTCTAGGGTTGGTATAAAATATCGGTATCCAAGCAAAGGGGTAGATTGTAGAATATTTGAGGAAATTCCGAGGGTCTATCCCGGCGAGCGGGGATCTCCCCCTCTGACTCACGACTGCCACTGTTTTGCTGTGTTTATCTTGGTGATTGACCGACATACCAGAGCACGACCTACCAAGGGATATCATTTACTCAGTGCCATTTAATATTTTTTGCAGAAAACCGATGAATTTCGGCAATATTGTTAAAGATTTCCTTATGCGAGCGTCCGAGGAGGAACGAATCACTTTTGGGGTGTATGGATGTGCGAAACTAATGGAAGCGTAAGTGTTATTTTGGACAAAACATCGTTTCGAGACTTACATTTAAACTATCAATAATCTTAAGAAGTCTTGAAACTAATGGAGCGTTTAGTGTGCAAATACTTTCCATGTTGTTATAAAATTGCGTTTCGGACGCTGTGTTTCTTGTATTTTTTTTAACAAGAGAAGATTATGCCTATCTATGTTTTTGTAAGATTATAGAAATACACATGTAGATACATATCAGTTATTAGATTTTTAATATCTTGATTTCATCAATGATTTTAAAGGTCATACAACTTCCATATTACAGTATATGCTATATGATTGTTCACGTTATTTCTCTTGCATTGAAATTGGTATTTATATTTCTGTTCAAAAGAAAATTGACGTTGAAAATAAAATCGATCCATTATTTGATATGTAGTTTACAAAACTTATTGCACTCTCTGTGTCTTCTACAGGAACCCTGACTCTGTGGGGCTGTGTGTCCTGGCCAAGGCCGTACCTGCCGATGTCTCGGTGGACATACAAAACACCCTGATGGAGGCGCATTGTGTAGAGCACAACGTACGCGTCCTAAAGGTCAGTACACTAATGTGTGGGTAGTTAAATCAGATAGGTATGGATTAAAAGGACTTTAATGTGGATAACTGGCTAGCATGCGCTTTGTCATATCAACAACTTACTATCAGACTTTGACATGTGTATCACTAGTTATCACGTGCTTTTTTTTCTCCATATACAACTAGATAGCACCTGTTTTTGCCTTTACATCAAGAAAACTAGCTACCTGATGCATTTCTCATAATTCATGTCGACAACAGTTTAGCACGTACGTTGTCATGTAGATAACTAGCTGACACGTGCTTTTTCGTACAGAGAAAATTAATTCATGTGCCTAGCCATATAGACAACTAAATGTTTTCATAAAACAGCCCTGCTTTCACGTGTTTTGTAATGTGGACAACTAGTTAACAGTTGCTTTTTCGTACAAACAATACGCAAGCAAGTTCTGTATTTTGTGCACTACAAAGACTGCAAATACACCTATCCTGAAATCAAGGTTGCTAACTCTGTTCCCAGAGTCCAATGACCCCGTTCAAGAAAACTTGTAATTTTGTCATAACCTTTCATAGTATGACGCCGGGAGCAGTCTAGATCGACAGGAAAATATTTTGCTTTAAATTGATGTATGATTTGCCCTTTAAAATGCAACACAATTTTCGGTAGACTTCATAAAACAACGGAAAAAGGTCGAATTTCAGTTGGGCGGACAGTGTGCTGTCCACGGATGACAAGCTAAATCCCTAGTGGGTAACGCAAAACACACAAACCTACTATGAGCGATTTTGACAAAATCACATGTTTTCTGGAACTTGGTCTTAGCAACATTGATTAAATAATAGGTGTATTGACAGACGAGGCTAGTGCCTGTGCACGTGCTATGCCATGTAGACAACTAGCTAGCACGTGTTTTCTCGAGTAGACAGCTAACTAGCATGTGCAGTGTCATAAAAACAACACGCTAACACGTGGTTAGTTAACTTGACGTATAGTTAGCTGTCCTTTGTCATCGAGTCAGTTATATGAACGTACGTCAATTTTAACAAATACAAGTGATGTTTGGCTTGATTCTTTGTTCAGTTTTAAAGTAGATACGCTTAGCTGGTGAATTTACTCACCGACTTCGACTCGGTCCGTCATGATACTGTGGAAAAATGTGTAGGAGGAGTTTTTGTGATGTAAACAGGTGTTCGGTGGCGAGGTCGATGTTGACAGCCGCTTTACGTGCTACATGACAGCTCTGACGGGTATGTCGCGCTCGGAGCGGCTGTTGTATCTACGTCGATCGTAAACAAGGTTTAACCAGCAAGTATCAAATACAGGGGTCTGTGCGTCAAAAAAAAGCAAGCCTGCGCTCAGACAGTTACCTTTGTTTTAACACGTGACACCCAATTGACCAGTATGATGGTACCGGACTCGACCATCTTTTTGTATTAGAAGTCAACATTGATTTGCACTTTTTGGTAAATTATTGACTGTATCATCCATTACTCCGTTTGTAGGTGGACAGCTCCGAAAAGCTTGAGAAAATACTGTCATTGCATTACAAGAATAACAAGGAGGGCAGCCCCCCGCATCGGCCGCCTGCTGAATACACGTGCATTCTCGTGCAGGTAGGCATCATCCGAGATATTGATCTAGCATGCAATCTTTAAAAAGATATAATTATCTCAACCAAATTGATATTGATTGATATTGACAATTTCAAGTTGTTTTGACGTAACATTGTATTATTGTATGATTCTAGCACGCGAAGAAGGAGGTTCCGGCGGACGAGATGTTGTTGGCATGTTGTGACGAAATGATGACAGACGGTGTCCTCTTTCATCACCCGTTACAGCTTCCGATTTGAACATGCCGTCCTCATCGTCATCCACGCCATACTACCTTCCAAGGTGAATGTCTAACTATGAACATGTTAATACCTGTTCAAACGGAACCATGAAGTTTATTGCTATTTGGCGTGCAGCTTGCTGTGGTTCATGTTCGACACGTTTGTTCACATAGATGACCTTGACCATCATTGTAGGAGAATGTAGTTTACGATTTAAAGACGTCATTGATCATTTTCGAAGTTAAAATCCGTAATAAAGACCATTCATAATATGGTCGAACAAAGCACATCTTCTAGTACGCAGAATGTACTTTAACAGTATCTAACTACTGTTAAATCGCCCCTACATAATGTATTAAAATAGCATCGGATAATGATATTTCCTGTTAAAACTCAGTTTGTAATATATATGGTGTTTTTTCTTTATTCCAGGAACTATCGCTGGTGATTGCAGTTTGATCTCCATGCTAACTGTTACTCCCTACTGAGCGAAGCGATTACCTGGCTAAGGACAAGGTTTGGGGTCACATCCAGCCAGGCCACCGGTCAACACAATAGCTCCTCCGGTCACTAGTTCCAGTACCCCGGTCAGACACCCAGACAAGGACAGGTGGTCCTTCACACGCTGTAGCAGTAACTACACCGGAATGGGCGAGCCGAGGTCACCCATCTGCTGTCGGGGTACCATTGGCGCTTATATTATTTAAGCAATACGGGGAGAGCAACAGTGGTTAGTTTAACTCCACGCACCTCTCACCTGGTCTCGGTAGCAATGGAATAGTGGCACAGGTGACCCAGCGATCGGGAACCACCGTATAACAACCGGCCACTATAAGCAATACTGGACAATGTGAAGAAGCAATAAATAATCCACTATAAACGGTGATAACACTCATCATGAATTGAAGACTTGTACATTTCGTTGTCAATACCATCAGCAAATGAGCACAGTCATTTAGTCTTGCATATTCATTGTCATCATAAAAAGTCATTGAATAAAATATATAACTCATATTGTGAGTAATCTTGTTTATTATATCGGTCCAATAAACCAGGTATTAATGGAGGAAGCTTGGTACTACAGAATGTCTTCTCGAGAACTGTGTGTCAATGAAACAACTATTTATTTAAAAAAATAAAAAAGATCCGTTTATAAAGACGGTAAAAGGCCTTTTTCTTCAGATATTGGCATACAAGGTCTGTAAGTTTATGGTTTAAGGAAGACTGGTGCCTGGGAAGACGCTGAAAAGACGAGTGGGGAAGTGAAAAAACCCAAAGACCCTTAACGTTGCTATGGGGTAAACAAATCTATTTCGGTTTCTTCAGTTAAGCTGAAAACACTGAAGAAAACCCTCAATTCTACAGGGGTCAAACGTTAGTCGCCTCTTACTACAGGGGTCAAACGTTAGTCGCCTCTTACTACAGGGGTCAAACGTTAGTCGCCTCTTACTACAGGGGTCAAACGTTAGTCGCCTCTTACTACAGGGGTCAAACGTTAGTCGCCTCTTACTACAGGGGTCAAACGTTAGTCGCCTCTTACTACAGGGGTCAAACGTTAGTCGCCTCTTACTACAGGGGTCAAACGTTAGTCGCCTCTTACTACAGGGGTCAAACGTTAGTCGCCTGTTACTATTAGATGCAGTGGAGTACAACAGGCCTACTCGATCCCAGAACCTGGAAAGGTATTGGATACAGTTATATTATACGGCCTATGTTATAGGTTACAGGCAAACTAGTAGATAACGTTGGTGATGTGACGCTGTGGATAACACACTCGCCTTTCACTAAGGCGGCCGGGTTCGATTCCATGATCGGACGTGAAACAGTATGGGGTCACCTACCCAACCACGTGGGTTTCTTGGGTACTCCGGTTTCCTACCACATTAATATCCTCTGCGTGCTAACATCCGGGCCAAGAGTAATTAATATCAGTTCGGATAGCTTATATAATATTTTGTTGTAAAATAAATGAAGTTTATATTTAAAACTAATAACGTTGTGTAATGTCAAGTGCTTACATTATAGAGCATGAAGAAACGGTAAACTTCCCCTACCGGGTAATACGCTTCGAGGAAGGTAATACGCACCCTTGAAATTCTAGAGGTAACGCTTACTTATGCAATTAAAGAAGGTGGGTAATATGCTGTGAGAACGTACCGGTAGAGCTTTATTTGATCAAATGTGTACGTAAAGTGTAAAAACACTTTATTTTACCATGAATTTGCCAAGGTGACCTGATTGTTAATCCGATACAGCGTGTAAATGTACCACTATACATACTTTACCTTGACCTAGACGTAAGGAACAATAATATTGCAGGAAAGACACCATGCTGTTGAGTGGTAGCTTCTGCATGCGTTGTTTGGGCCTAACATGCTGTGGAGTGGTAGCTTCTGCATGCGTTGTTTGGGCCTAACATGCTGTTGTGTGGTAGCTTCTGCATGCTTTGTTTGGGCCTAACATGCTGTGGAGTGGTAGCTTATGCATGCGTTGTTTGGGCCTAACCTGCTGTGGAGTGGTAACTTCTGCGTGCGTTGTTTGGGCCTAACATGCTGTGGAGAGGTGAAGCTTCTGCATGCGTTGTTAGGGCCTACCATGCTGTTGTGTGGTAGAGCTTCTGCATGCGTTGTTTGGGCCTAACATACTGTGGAGTGGTAGCTTCTGCATGCGTTGTTTGGGCCTAACATACTGTGGAGTGGTAGCTTCTGCATGCGTTGTTTGGGCCTAACATGCTGTGGTGTGGTAGCTTCTGCCTGCGTCGTTTGGGCCTAACATGCTGTGGAGTGGTAACTTCTGCGTGCGTTGTTTGGGCCTAACATGCTGTGGAGTGGTGAAGCTTCTGCATGCGTTGTTAGGGCCTAACATGCTGTGGAGTGGTGAAGCTTCTGCATGCGTTGTTAGGGCCTACCATGCTGTTGAGTGGTAGAGCTTCTGCATGCGTTGTTTGGGCCTAACATGCTGTGGAGTGGTAGCTTCTGCATGCGTTGTTTGGGCCTTACATGCTGTGGAGTGGTAGCTTCTGCATGCGTTGTGTAGCTAGTTGTTCTTAACTGCTGTTCAAAGTTGATGAAAACTATGTTTATCCTTTTCCACTCTTCTTGTTATAATGATAGTCTGTTCATCCCAACGGCACTAACAATAACTGTAGTTATTCATGGAAGCTCTTTCCTTTACCTTATATGTTCATTTTTTCGATATGGTCTGTTATGCAGATTTGAATTGTTACTGAACTTTTTCAACTGTCTAGTTTAATGTGCCGTCTTATTTTGTCTTTAGTTTCTGTGTGTCTGTCGTTTATTTGTCCCAGTTTTTTGTGCCGTCTTATTTTGTCTTTAGTTCCTGTGTGTCTGCCGTTTATCTGTCTTAGTTTGCCTTGTTGTTAACAGTTATTGTTAAACTTTGCATGGTCTAACGGTGAAGGCTGTCGATAGAATGCTGAGGTCATCTCTTACAAAGACGTCAGTGTTGTCTGTTTCATTGTTGAGTTTTTCTGCGTCACATTAAACAGCTGTTACATGTTAATTTCAGCCAACAGTCAACAGTCATACAGATTTCCTGAATGTTTTGGGACCAACTCGATAAACTGTTTCCGTTTCGCGTCCGTAGCTCTGTTTGATAATAATTGCTTAGAGTACATAGCAACATTCACTATGTCTAAGCTTAAGGACTTAGCCCTTCAACAGGGATTGAATAGTCTTAAAACTTATGTCACATCCATTTTCAGATCTACATTTGTTTTTGGTTTGCTTTATGATAAATAGGGCTGTAATGACATATCGTACGACGATATATCGCGATATTTTGAATACGGTTCGAAACACAATATTTTTTTGGGATGTCACGATACACCTACGATATTTTCCGGATTTTGTTGTTTCTGAATTTAGTCTATGCTCATCTCCGTTCCCACATGGCGAGTGACACTTCCAGCTCGGCATGCACGTTGAAAGACGTTGATTATGTGAAAATCAAAGGTATGCCCATGTTTGACCAGTCTATTCAAAGCTGTAATATTTTAATTAACAATTTGAAACATATATTCTCGCTTTGCGTTTACTGTTGCTATATTTGTATCGTGATCACAGTGTCGGGATACGTATCGATGTATCGTTGCAGCCCAAAAATAACTTAACCTGAAAAAAATATAACATATGCCTTACCTCATTTGTAACAGTACTGTCATGCGTGTGATGTTGCAATGCCAGTTTTAGGGGGCGAAACTATAGTACATCAACGTCACGTGATATCATCTCATTTTCTCTGACGCGACAACGAGCATACACGTGCAAATGTCGCATGGGTGTTTGATTGACTGTCCAAATGATCTGTTCAATGGAATAAATGCCAGTTTTGTAATCATCACTTATTTAATTACAATTACAAAAAGTTCAAATCGCTAGGGGTTTAGGCAAGGAATAGGCATGCTGTACCCACTGCCTTAGAGGCGACTTATAAAGGCTCACCCCTGGCAGAATCTAGGGGTTAACTCTATGTTATCTGCTATGGTGACCTGGAAGAAATCAACAATGCTCTGCTGCCCCTATTAAAACACTTGGAATCCATGTTTTTTTTCTTCTGATTTCCAACCTAACTGTTGGGAGGTCGTTAAATTTTCAAACAAATACCCGAAATACAACAATAAGTGGCATCGGACTTAAATTTATCATTGATGAAAATACCGACTGATACAGTTGTTGTAAACAGTCGATAAGTGGAAAAGTATCTACAAACATGTGCTCATTGTCCCTCTCCCACTCAGTCACATGTCGTATGGAGACCGACTGTCGCTGAGATATAATAGGGACACAAGTGTTCCTAACCGCAGCATCACTGATTTCCCTTCTAAATGAAAAGAAAATCGCAAATCATGTCAGAGCGGGTACGCTGTGTATATATCCCACTCGATAAATCTACCTATTTACCGGCTATTAAGTTTCCCACTCAAGATGTAACGAGACTACGGCGAGTTCACATTAGCACAGAGCCAGCTCGGGCCTGTCGCGTGGCGGAAGAAACCAAGCGTTTGGGAGCCTTTGTTCTGTAAGCGACAATGTGCCACCTTGCGGTGACCTTCGGAAGAAAAGGTTAACGTTACACTTGTGACATATGCTGTAACAAAGAAGTCTACATTCACACAAAGACGTTCCAGACACTTAATGACAACGATGGGTCGGTAATGAACAAAGAAAACCGCCTGCATGCTGCCGCTGCAGCATTGTCGCATGTTCGAGTCACGTTTTTCTCGTGAAAATAGTGTTGGTATGCACACATTTTGTTGATTTACCGGCAAATTCATTTGTTCTCACAGTTTGGTAGATTGATATGGGAAATATCATTGTTTAGAAGACTGTTGGGTTGCAGCGCAATATGGTCACTGTTGGTCACAATAAACTGAAGTGTTTTAACTGTATGCAATCTAAAATGTTCAAACACACACCGGTCAGTGAATGGAGCCCGAGGTGACCACCCACACATTGAGAGCAAGTGATAAGTGACCGATGATGACCTCCACGTGTTACATGGGACCCCGCGTTACCCGATGGGGCCAGACTGTTTATCACGTATACAACGGCGTTGTAACGCGCAAGATGTTCCATTGATGAATATAAATATTATACCAGCTGTTAGGTTGACAACGATAATCACTGCTAACATTTAACACCGTGTCTGTAGTCTCTGTGAAACAGAGCATTTTGATTACATATATCTTAAGGGGTCGGGAGAGGTTGTGAAAATGTGTCAAGCCTATTCTTTTCTTTATTCAATAACGTAACTATGCAGGAGCGATATAGGAAAGGTTGTTAAATCTTGTCAAACCCATTAATTAACCTTTTAGCTTCACAAACGACTAACTTGTTATACAGATGTTACGTCAGTTCACGTTGACAAAAGTCTGGAAGAACAGAAATCGTTGATTTGGCACATGCTATACATAAACTCTGACCAGTTAGTATTCTATGTAAACAGGAGAGAGAAAAAAATCACGACCCAACCGGGATTCAAACCCTGGACCT